TCCGCTTCGTCCACGGTGAAAGCTTTAATATCTTTATGTCCTGTAGTGGCAAAAAAATATATATATAAACCCCTATTTAAGTATACTGTATGTATGCAGATAAAGTTGGACATACTCATATATTCAACCTGGGTGATATATAATTTTTTTTTTTTTTTTCAAAATGTATATATAGCTGTGCATTAATACAATTTTAAATTACATTGCAACAATATAAACAATCACCCATCCAAGGTTTGCTATATTGTATATATTGTTGTACATGTATCCAGGTAAAGTAAGATGTACTATCCAACTTGCAAGATGTATTACTGTAAGCATAATATAAATATTGGAAATGAAGTATGTTTTTAGCAAGTATGCTTAAAATCAACATTTTCTAGAATTCTTGAATTAATTTCATCACTGAGTTTGTGCCAAGGTATGGATTGTTTTTTCTACAATGTATTTGCATAATGCTACATTTGAAGTATCTTATAGAAGCTGCATAATTAAACTACCCTGCAACAGTTTCCAAAGTCCCATTAAGACAAGACAGTTCATTCTGTGGCCTTCTTGGCTAGTTTTTACTTAGGTAATATACATACAAATATAGCTATACTTTTTGTGTTAATAAAATATTTCAGTTGAGCAATAACATATGACAACAATGGTATTATAAATTAATCATAAATGGCTATATTAACTGAAAGGCATAACTTACATTCCTATAGCCATTATACTGAGTCTTATGATTCTTCCCATTTATTTTTCTAAAAGTGGTCAGTCTCACATTCCTAATGCTCTCTCTGCAGCCTTTGAGTCGGTAGCTCACCTGCAATGCCATATAATGCTGTCTAGGTAGGCAGCTCACTAGGTTTTGGAAACTGAACAACTGTATTCCTATGAGATGGAGAGTCTGTGAAAAAGCTATGTATTTCAATGCACATATGCGGTGTATACTTTGAAGTGCCGGGTACTTGGAGAGCAGTGCATCAAGAGGCTACGGAATACAAACTAAATAAATAAATATTCACACAGACAAACAAAGTGGCTGTGAATGTTTGAAGTACTAACTCCTCGGCTCCTGCTTATCTGGGCTGTAGTATTACTGCGCTCTAATCCATCTCTGTAGTGAAGGCCGCTCGCAGGCAGTCTACGGACACACACACAGACTTCCAAAAACCTTCACTAATACTTCTCTCTGTCTGAGTGTAGATAACACAGTGCTTTCTGCATCATCATCACACACATAAACACCTCCCGCAAAAAACACGCACAGATCCGCGATGTTGGCAGACATTTAGGTAGGTGTTGAAACTCAACACGCACAAGCTGCAAACTCACTGTATTTCCATCCAATATCCTGAATCCACCCACAAGCTCTGTTCCAAAACCTAGGAAGCGCCCTACTTAGACAGCTGACCTCTAAGGCAAGTAACATGGAATCTCATTAAAAAAAAACACTCTACATAGACTGAAAATCTGCACAGTACACGACTACACGTCACAAAGCAGCAGCTCAAAATTATTTCCAATAGAGTTTGATACTTGGTTGTTACAGGTAAAACATACATTAAATATAATAAAATATATTAAAAACTAAATCTGTAAAGAACAAATGGAATGCTGCCTTCAAATTTGGCCCAAAAGAGCTTAAAATCATTATCACTTAATTTTTCATACAAAATGTAAGGGAGAAAAAAAGCTCGATAAAGTATCATCCATGCATTTTTAAAATAATAAAATAAAATACGCACTAAAAGTACAGAATAAAAGTACAGTTTTTGTTATGCTAATTAATGACAACAGAAAGAAGTTAAAAATTAACTGAGAAAAATTCTGCAGTCTACTGCATTTCTTTTACAGTAGGTTAATATTCCCCACATGCCCTTCATCAACTACACGGACATCATACCAAACAGAGACTACAGAGAATCGATCCAGATTACGCCCTGGAGTTCAGTCCCAGATTACAGCTGTCACCTGTCATTAGCACCTCTACCTGAGGTCATCGCTCTGTCTATGAATCCATTAGCTATATCAACACTATATTATTCTCTTTCATTCACTCTCACATGAAAGGTCCAACGCTGACCAGCAGCATATCAATAAGGCCATACTGGGCACAGTCATTCACACAGACCTTGCTATTATTCTGCTGATGTGAGTCTGTGGGGAGAGTGTGGTGTGGATAAAGGGCCCCTGGGGGCCTCCTGTCTTCTGTCAGAGGCAGAGAGGGGTTTCATGAACCATGGGGATGCCAAGACCTGCATGCTAACTAGCCTAGCGCACTGCCTCTGCCACACTGAGAGGCACAGGCCTGTAATTCACTGAGAGATAGTGAAAATTCAAGAAGAGTTCATATCTATATCAGAATACTGAAGTCAGTAAGGCTTCAAGAGATTTCTATAGACATATGGTAATTGTATTCATTTTAATTTACAATGAAAATAGGACCATACCAGCTGAATATATACAAAAACACACACACACATACGTGTATGGCTATATATATTAGGGGTGGGAGAAAAAAATCGATGCATCGCGATTCTCTCTCCAACGATTCTGGATTGATTCTGAGAATTTCAGAATTGATTCTGACCTTAGTTTTTAACCAGATGCGCGATGACGCTGAGTTTGCTTTAGAAACACCCGTATTCTGCTTGCTTCCAATCCTTCACTTAAATCTTCCGTAAAACAATCTTTCATAAAGTTCGGAAAGGTTGAAGCGAATTACAAGGACATTCGCGGACTTCATTGCACAAGATGCTCTGTGAGAGTCGCGCACTTTGTTTGAAGTTACACTTGAAGTGTGCGGTCTCGCCCGTCTGTATTTTCCTTACAAATGCTCTACGAAGTCATCATTTATGTGGTTTGGAATGCAGTGGACTTATATATTTAAAATATGAACCTCACTAGCAGAAGGCTGCTTTCAATTTCAAATGCTGACGCGCATGCGGCTGTGCGCGACTCCGTGTGGTTTAATGCACTTGCATCTCAAAATGGTTTTATGACGCAAAATTAATGTAAACACAGCCAGTTATGTCTTAAGGGATTAAACGGACAGGACAAACCACATTACTTCTTATATTTCAAAAGAGATCCGTGCGTGAATGCAGCTTAATAGATCAAAACAACAGTAAAGATGAAGAAAAATCACTCACAGTTCTTGAATGGAAAACGTTCAGATAACCAATTATCCAATAATATAACCAATCTTAATCCATTGCAGCAGCTCAATATACTGTAATCACAAAACGTTTTCCTAAAATAATGCAGGGAACCACTCGTTATACATTATACGAGTGCACGCGTACTATTTTGGTGATGTAATTTGCGTCACGCGCAGTGTACACGGACCCTCGCGTACGAGTAAAAACCGAAGTATACTTTGGCCTTAAAGGTATATATATATATATTAGTGCTGTCAAATGAATAATCGCGATTAATCGCATCCAAAATAAAAGTTTTTGTTTACATAATATATGTGTGTGTACTGTGTATATTTATTATGTATATATAAAGACACGCACATTTTATTTTATTTTATTTTATTTTAATTACCTAAACATTTAAATGGTAGTGTATCATGGATTACACAAAAATGTTAAGCAGCAAAAATTATTTTACCGTATTTTTGAACAAATAAATGCAGCCTTGGTGAGCATAAGAGACTTCTTAACATTTGACCGATATCTACCAAGTCAATTATTTTGAGGGAAGCTGTTTTCAACCACCAAGATCCAAACCGGATAAATGGGTTTTCCCACCTCCAAAATCCTAATTTAACCCATAGATTTTTTTAATAACCTGTGCAAATGGTTTCTTCCAGAATTAATCTAAAACTTTTCATTCTCCCACATCTCTCCCTCTGACACTGTGATGCAAATGTGCATAAATGGGCTAAAAAGGCACAGAGGGTTTTGGGTTAAAATTGCATCAGGGTGAGATTGTGAGAGGACATGAGAGAGTGAAATGACTGTCAGAATTAATATAACAACGCAGAATAGCATACATTAAATATGAAAAACTGAGAGCTTTGGCACCACATAGGCTTGAAGTAGAGATAAAGAAAACAGGAATGAAAGAGGAAAAAAGAAATAAAGATGATAATGCAGGCAGATGAAAATTATTGTACGTCCAAATGTGTCTGAGACAGAAACGAAGAGTAATGACAGGAAAGTGCTGCCCACAGGAAAGATAAATCACAAAAGACATCTCAATTGTTGCTCATAGACTAAAAGAGATTAAATAGACAGCAAATTCAGAAGTCTACTTCTTCATCCTGAGAAAAAAAAAAACCTCAGTAATCATCAGCTATGTTTCTTTAGTGGAATTTTAAAAGAGATCTCAACAAAGTCTCAAAATGAGTTCATATTGGCCATGATGCCAAAGTCTGCAATCAAAAGTCAAAAGAGATCTCAATATGAACACAAACATTTCTAATGACATTCTTCAATCACAAAATGATCTGCGCTACTATTCACATTTACTTTATACCTCTACACTCTTACTGTACTTCAAAAACCTCATCATTATGCATAAATCGTCAAGCCAATCACAAGTTGGTATGCAAATTGGTTTTAGAAAGATGACCAATTAAAATTCTGTATACTAATATCACAATGACATCATGAGTGTCAGCTACGTACTTTTGACAGCTCATTCAACAGTATGAATAAAGATGGGAGATTTTCAAACTTCATAAGAAGTGGGCCTATAACATTTACCAGAACAAAAATGTATCTTAAAGTTTAAAACAGTGAAAATGCCAAGCGATTCAGGCTCAATTAGTTGCAGAAGTTTTACACTTAAGGTTAGGAGTTTAGAACAAACTAACCTGATTGTTTGAGGAATATCTACTCTACTGCCTTCCAAGTACTGCAATAAAACATAATTGTGAACTCATTAAAACTCCTGAGCTATGAAAGAACAACCTGTGAGCAATAAAAAGTTACTGTGGCTGAGAAAGCTATCAAAAGAAGAGACAGAGGCATGCATAGGGGAAACATATTTACAAAGGAAATCCTGAGAGAGCAAAAGCAAACACAAATAAAAGAGACATGAGAAGAAAATGACAAATAATGGGACTTTCTCCATGGTCACCAGCAGGAAGGTACATTCACAACACAAGCACCTCTGTCTGTCTTTCCCTCTATCTCTCTCTCTACGCCATCAGCCGGTGGTTATTAATGACCCCTGCACCCCTCTGTGAGCACCCCATTTATAAAACTCAGCGTTTTAATCTCTCTCAGTGTGTGTTACTCCCCCGCGCTCCCTCAGCCTGCAAACACACTCATACATTCAGTGGCTGACACCTTTATGGAGGATTGAGAATGCAATGGCCAGTACTTACAGTTCAGGCACCTGCCCAAAACTGAGCACGCTTACTCGTATTTACACACCATTCCTCGCTTTCTGTTGCTTAACCGGTTATACAACTCATCCACAATATTCCTAGTCTTTTATGGTGTTTCCCTTCTTTTTGAAACTTGACCGACATGTTACTGTACATTAAAAAGAGCAATGTTTTGGTGGGAAAATGGAGGAAAAACTTTTACTTTAGTGAGATTTGGGCTTAAAACAAAACAAGAACTATTTGTCAATTTATTTCATATATTCAGATATTTTCTGATGCATACACAACAGTTCAAAAATTTGGGGTCAGTAAATTTATATTTTATAATTTATATATTTTTTTATAATTTATATTTTATTATGCTGTTCTTTTGAACTTTCAAAACATTACAAAATCCTGAAAAAAGTCAAAGTTTCCACAAAAAAAATATTAAGCAGCACAACTGTTTTCAACACGGATCATTGTAAAAATGTTTCTTAAGCAGCAAATCAGCAAATTAGAATGATTTCTGAAGGAACATGTGACACTGATGCTGAATATTCAGATTTGCATCACAGGAATAAATTACAATTTAAAATATATTTATAAAATATTTCACAATAGTACTGTTTTACTGTTTTGTTGGTCAAATAAATGCAGCCTTGGTGAGCGTAAGAGACTTCTTTCATAAAAATTTAAAAATCGACTATGAACCTTTGAATAGTAGGCTTAAAAAACAACAACAGTAATAATTAAGTTGAATGACATTTATTCTTAAAACAAGAAAATCTCTTAATTGCTAACGAGGTAAGAACAAGAAAAACGAGAAACACTGCCAATGGGGTATGAGAAATATACTTAATTGAGCATAATTTTACTTCTCCAGTGAATTTATCTTGCATTGAGGATGTTAAGGCCAAAAAACTGATTAAGAAAATAATATCTCTGCAGGTCCACTTAGTCTGCATTTCTTCAGTTATACCGGGTCAAACTTTTGGCCTTTTCAGCTCAGCTCCCGTTAAAAGTTACACCCCCAGCAAGTTCTCTTTATTAATTGTCAGTGTCTGGCTGGAACGATGCCACTCATGCCATACACGCTGCCCCCACCTCCTCCCCCTGGACTGAATCCCTGGAACCGCATGCATTAATTAATGCATATTTCATTTAGCATGCCTGTGTTGTGCAGCATATTGCCTTCCACTCTATTCATTTCCCCAGGGAAATGATGTTATACATCACCCCTCTGTTGGCTTCCCTAATCACACACACTGTACGCAGGCAGACGCATCCACACACTTCTGAATTCCCAAGATGACACTGGACCCTCTGAGCACCTGAGGCGCTCACAGCCTGAGGGATATTGCCCCAGCACGCACCACCCCTCCCAGGACGTGCTCAGCAAAGCCAGATGGCAGTGATCGCTGACAGAACACACTGCTCCAGAAACCCAATCACGCTGCCACTATATGTGAAACCTCTGTTAGCTTCTAGATTTGGCATGTTAATCAGATGCATACTAATACTACAAAGATGGGTCATTACTGTACAAGAAAATCTGATTGGATGTGTCACAGATGATGATTATACTCTAAATCAATCTACAATTTTTACTAATAAGCTAAAATAAACTACTGTATATGACTTGAAAAACTGTTTGTTGTGATTTATATAATAAATAATCATAGTTATTTAATTGAACATGGCCATCTTATATCATGTGTTGCAACCATTTCATAATAAACCATGAGAAGTTAGAATGATTTTACCATGGTTAATGGGGTTTCAGACACTAAAGTTTGACTTTGTGTCAAACAAAACCATTTACACTATGGATACATACAATATCAACAAATAGACAAATCCTTTTTTATATATGACTTCAAAGAATACAAAATCCTCTGTGTAGGTTCACAAAACTTTGATTTGATAATATGCTTAACAGTGACTTAGTTTGACATTGAAAATTTGATATTGTACTTTTCAGTCTAAATTCACACTTTAAAAATTGTGTGCTACAAAGACAATTTACATATAAAGGGGTGACACTGAATTTGAATTTCATGAAAAGCCCATTTAACTTCTCCATTTTATAATGATTAAGGGGACACATCAACATCACACCACATCATTTTTAATAAAATTTGGAATTCAAGCAGAATAGAATAAATCACCGCTTGAAATGACAGATAACAGCCTTGACAACAGAATACCTGCATGCCTCATATTGTATCACAGGATAATGATGAACTTACTTGCAGTGCAGATTCTCAATATATAACTGTCCTGTGCTTTGTGAATATAGCTTCATAAGATGACAATGATAAGAGAATATATCCATTTGCACTTGAAATCTATATCATTACATTTATAACCAATCAAATGCTACTATTCAAACATTTGGGATAAGTAAGACTCTTATTGCTCACAAAGGCTGCACATATTTGATTAAAATATTGTGAAATATTATATAAATTTGAAATAGCTGTTATCTATTTGAATATATTTTATAATATAATTTATTCCTGTGATGCAAAGCTGAATTTTCAGCATAATTTCTCCAGTCTTCAGTGTCACATGATCCTTCAGAAATCATTCTAATATGCTGATTTGCTGTTCAAGAAACATTTCTGATTATCTGATTATCTGATATCAGTGTTGAAAACAGTCTGTGAAACAGTGTTTTTCAGGATTCAATGATGAATAGAAAGTTCCAAAGAACAGCATTTCTTTTGTAACATTATAAATGCATTTACTGCCACTTTTGATCAAATTACTGCATCCTGGCTAAATAAAACTATTTTTTTTTTCCTAAAAGAAACACACACACATATTTAAGTTATGAACAGTAAATGCAAACTATTTAAGGCACTAATAAACAATCAAATGATATCTGTGAAGTAGTGTTGTCAAAAGTACCGACCACGATACCATTCGGTACTGAAATTTTAAAAACGTCCATTTCCCGCTATGCTTTGAGTGCTGTTGAGCAGATTCTTGAACAGCACTGATTGGTCATAGTGGGCTGATAGGTCATATCAGCGGATATAGACGGATCCGCTGATAGACGCAACTTTCAAACACTCCCGTGTGTTTCTGTGTGAGCGCTCGGTGAAGAGCGTGAAGCGATGATCATTGAAGACAATCACAGACGTATCTGTAAGCGCGTGAACACAATGAACAATCAGCACTGTTTAAGAATCTGCTCAACAGCGCTCAAATCTTAGCGGGGAATTGACTTTTTTAAAATTTCAGTACCGAATGGTATCGCAGTTGGTACTTTTGACAACACTGCTGTGAAGTTTTGTTCGGTGGTTCTAAAGTTTCTATCATTTTTCTTTTTTCCCCAAATGATACTGGGACAACCTGGTCTTACAGAGCAAATAGAGGACTTGAAACTGTCCCGCAGTGCTCACTCTAGCAGTGACAGCAATGCTAAATCATCTGCAAAGAGAAGCTTTAGATCTGCAGTCATGCTGGGTACACCTGGGAACTCGAGTGGTTCCAACTGTAATGCCGGTTTGTCAGGCCTTAAACTTACTTTTACTGTCTAAGTCAAAGATTTAGTTCTGTTCGAATGATTCTTTGAATTTAATCTTCACCGACAACTACACGCAAATCAAATATATCTTTTTGAACCAATGGTGCTAGATGGGACAATCAGTTTGGTCTAACAATGGCAGAAGGGGTGCTAGAAGTGTTTGGGAAACCTATTTAAAAATATTAATTATTTCTGCAATTTCACTAGTGGCACAGCAATTACACACTTCACATTAAATGATTAGTCAATTACATTATTGCCCAGTCTACCTTAAAAAATACCATCATCTCATTATTATTCATAGATATTCATACATTTTTACATTTGAATAGACACTGATACATACAATACCATATGGATGGCTTTTTACGCATGGCTTTACAGAAATACAAAATCCTCTGTTTAGGTTCACAGATTATTGAACGGATAGCCTAATTTTAGCATACTTCTAATAAATGAGATTGATTAAACATGCTTAACAGCACCGAAATGTTAATTTAACGCAGTTAGCACTCACATATACCTAATTTGACACAGAAACTTTGAAAATACATTGATATATTGCATATCAGTCTAAATTCAAACTGAACAGATCATGAGCTACAAATGCACTCTACATAGAAATAAAGAGGGGATGTTGAATTATTGGCCAAAAGATGTTCTATTACTTTGTAAAAAAGCCATTTTACCTATCTATTGCTATCTGAAATGAATAATAGCAGCTCCTAATAAAGACTAAGGACAATTACTGATGTCTCTGTAGTGATTAAAGGATTTAATCATGTCTTTGTTCCAAAAGCAGCATTGAGAAACTGATGGATTTTAGTCATTTCTCCTTTTTTACTTCCAAGTGCCATATGGGCAGACAAGCTTGAATCCCAGACAAAGCTTATCAGGGGTAAAGAGCACCACTAAAGGTGTTTTTGGCCATGCTAAGTCACACACGGCACAGCTACAGCCAAACAGATGCTAGCATTTCTCTCAAGTCCAGTGACCACATGTTAACAAGCCTTGCAGAAAGGGACCAAAGCTTTTTGTTATTTCTGCTTAAGTGGGACAATGGCTCTGTAGTGAAGCTGAGGCTCTACCCCATTATCTTAAGAAACAGAGGAGAATCAAGGCTTCTGTACTAGTCGTTAGCAATGCTAGCTGAAATAATGAACACTCTGTGGGTAACAATTCAAGAGGAATCCTGCTGCTGACGGCTGATGCGGGTTATAAGTGCTGTATTTTGGGCTGTGGGTTTGCTTTGTGTGTGTTTTGGCGAGCATCTCTCAACGTGCACGCAAGCATTTGAAAGCCAATGTCTCTGAACACTGGGCCACATTTATGAAACGTGAACTACGGTAATTTGCATAAAATCAAAGTATATATATATATTTGTGTGTGTGTGTGTGTACAGGTATATATGATTTATGAGGACACAAATGTGTAATGACATGGGTACTACAACATAAACATGGTTTATGAGGACACTTCCTGTGTCCACGTAAAACAAAAGGCTTAAAAAACATACAAAACTGTGTTTTATGAAATTCAAAAATTGCCAGCAGTTTCCTGTGAGGGGTAGGTTTAGGTGTAGGGTTGGTGCAGGGCAATAAAAACACATTGTGCACAATGAGAACTGCTGTTATGTCTTCATGTCTCAGAGCTGTAGCACAGGATAGATGGAGGCTTATAGTCTCCAGCCAAGGGAAAAAGTAATTTTATCCAAGACTTCATGGACACAGACACTGGCTTAGAAATCCTGCTGACAAAAATCTCCAACAAGTTATTAAGTTTCCTCAAGCGATGCGTCTCGGGACCAAGGTTCAAAACCTCCCAATGCAAATGAAGTGAACGTTACACGCACACACATAATAGAGATGCTCAGGGATAAAATCAACATTTTGAGCATGTACACTGAAAAAACGAAAATGACTGTCATTTATTTAAAATCTTATATTGGTCTAAATGAAAAGCTTGGCTTCTGGTTTAAACTTGTTTAGTTCAGTTATTCAGTTAAATAGAATGCATATTTTAAAAATTAAGGTCTTTCAAAGTTGTCTTTATTTGCTGTAAGTAAACTAAATTAAACACCAGCTTTTACTTTAGTTTAAGTAAAAATATATACTTTAATGTTATTGCTAATTTAGCTTTTGTTTATGGTGAAATTAAGTGGTAAAAAAACAAATATATATATATATATATATATATATACAGTGGGTACGGAAAGTATTCAGCATTTTGGATTATGTCTAAAGAAAATGGTCTTTATAATAAATAATATTTGTATGATTGTTTTTGTCTTTGAGAAAAGAAATAAGGTTTGAACCAAACCATAAATATAATACAAGTACTTTTTTTGCTATAACAAAATGGATCCAAAGTATTTTTTTTTTCAGTGCATAATCATACCAGGTTTAATATGTCACTGAATGTTTCTATAGGTATTTTGGTTTTATTTAACCAGGATTAAAAAAAAAAAACTTGAGATTTAAAATCTCTTTTGCAAGCAGATCCTGGCCAAAGGAGGCAGCACATAGTTTAACAAAATAAGAAATAGCACACACAAAACATAATGATAATAAAAAATGTATGTTGCAGTCCGTTTATGTGAGATTATATGTGAATGCATATGTGTGAGGTTGTGTGCATGACTCACCTGTAGCCAGAGTTTGTCATGTTGTGACCATTTGCCTCCAGCAATACACTGGAAGGTGGCGTTCTGTCCCACGTTCACCTCGACATTCTGCAGCCGCAGAAAATGTGGTGTCTTACCTAGCAAAAAACACACATACACACATATACCTTCAAAACACATCTTACATCATCCATGCAAATCAAATAAAGCACATGCTCCAAAGACACTAGTGGTCAACTATACAGTGGCCCAAACGTGTTTACATACTTAAAAAGGTGCAGCTTTAGCTATGAACATGTTTTTGTGCATATATTTTTGTGAAATTTTTAGCTAATGAAGTATACTTGTGCTAACATCCTTGCAAAATATCAAAGCAAGTGTCATTTATTGTATCTAATGAAATGACATTCTGATTTTGTAAGTGTTCCACAAGTGTCCAAATGCTTCTTTCAGTTCTTGTATATTTGTTTTGAGATGGAGAACATCTCATTGACATTTATGTCTGTTTTTCTGATTGTACATTTAGAATCACCATCTGAAAACTAGAAATTTAATGGAGCACCCATTTGTATTCAATACTATTTCCAATAAACATTCTCTCATTTGCATATACAGGTGCATTTGTCAGAAGGGTAACTCATGCACTAGCTGAACTCTTGTGTCTCAGTACAGCAGTCTCCACCCACTCTCTCTGCCAGCTTCATTTATCTGTGCATGCATTTCTGCACAAAAGCAATATCAATCTTTTTCAATTAAAGTCACTGAGAATATAGACTTCTTATTTTTAGTTTCTCTGCTATAATGTGGAAAGCACTCAGATTTAATGAAGGAATCTTAAAATTACCCACATACTGTATTATATTATAGCAAATTTAAAACATTTTTTGGGGGGGGGGGGAAATAGATACTTCCACGGTCTGCTTGTGTTTCTTCAACTCAGTTCTTATTACATTTTTATTGAAAATTCTGGATGCATGGAATGGAATACTAGCTTACCACATACTGTGCAGTATACACTATTTACTGTTTTTCAAACACTGAATGTAAAACTATGCATTATGCAAAGATAACCAATGCCAACTGCTAAGATGAATGACTTTGAATAAAAGTGTCTGCAATGATTACATACACGGACACTTTTCATTTTCTGTTACTTATCACCCCTGAAACTAAAAACTCTTGATATAACACAATTCAAGAAAAAAACTAAAAAATATTAGTCACACTGGAAATGGATCGAGTGAACACGGTCACTTTTTTAAATGTGATTTGTCATTCGAAACCTATTTTACTTCTATAACCAAACATAATTCTATGTGATAAGGATTTTGATAATGAATAAAATACTTATGAAGTCAAACTTTTTTGGAATGACGTGCAATGATTAATCATGCGCAATAAGTCTAGGGGTCATGTTCACTTCTAAATGAATATGAATTAACCTCATTTTCCTCATTGGCACTGCTGGCTTTACATTAGTGACACAGAGATATCTTGGACAATGGAAGTCAAAGGCTAAAGTTCTCCCGTCACAACAAGAATGATGTGGGCCTGAAGTCTGAGCACTCAGCTCTGCAATCTGTCTCCCTGTCTCTCTCATCCTCAGCCCAGACCTGCTTGTTTGCTGAACTTTTCCATCTCTGTTCAACCCTCGATCCACATGAAGTGCTTTTCACAGTAGTTGACAGACTGAACTCCTACAGCGTAGCCAAGACTGCGAAAGTAAGCAGGCGCTGTCTGTGTGTCTGTGTCTCTGTGTGTGTGTGTGTGTGTGTGTGTGTGTACTCACGGCAAGGGTGGGCCAAAACGTGTATCTCATCCACTGCGATGAACCCCGGATGCCCTTGTACAGATACTGCCTCAAAAATAACCTAAACGAGAGAAGAGGGGAGAGGAAATCAAGTGTTTAAATCAAGTCAGCTTGTTAAAGTCTGAACTGAGATGGTGAATTTATTTCAAGCAACAAGTCAACAGGAGAGATCTTTAACTGTAAAACCACCTACAGCGGCCCCAAGCACTTGCGGCACACTTAAAAATGTTTGAATGTCAATGCATCTTGCATTCATTTTAAAGAGAGATAGCACAAGAAAACTTTTCAAGCAAGACATAATAATCTGATAATCTGCACTGAAACTCTGTAAATACAAATCTGAGCACACACATATGGGACTGGCATGGTTTGTATGGCATACTGTACATGCCATGTGGTGAGAACATGTGTGGTCCTAACAATGCCCTCTCTCTCAAAGCTGCCAAGGACTGGAAGTAGAATGCCAAAACCTGGACACAGGATGCACTTGAGTCCCTGGCTTCCCAAAAAGGCCTCACTGTAACCAGTCAAGAGACTCAATCTACTCGAACAGACTCAATTCTCACCATGTTATTCAGGGTGAGACTGCAGAGACTAAAGGTGTGTGTTTGCACAAACCACAACAAGAGAATGTCACGTTTCGGATCAGAAATGTTGTGGAAACTGCTTTCAGTGGCTTTAGCTTTGTGTTGTTGTTTGTTCAGTTCTCAATTCTCAATCCTAGAAAAGAGCAGTGCGAATATCCTGCCACAAGAAAGTTACACAGGTTTGGAACGACATGAGGTTGAGCAACTAATTACATTATTTTCAATTTTGAATGAGCAAGCCCTTTACATCGTCATTTTTATCATCCTTGCCCCTACTCAAGGACGTTGCTGTATTCATCATTTATTCACAACATTATGGCTGACTCAAATGATCTCTAAAACTGTCAGGACATGGGAAAAAGAACTGCTTTTTTATAATGTACCATCACAAGTTCAAAGAGACAGATTTGCCTTTTTTTCTTTTGCATATCATACAGCTTTACCCTTTAAACACTGTCACGTCGAAAGTGGCACCCTACGATTTAAAATGTATCACGGCAGGAAACAAGTCAATTAACCCAGAGATTCGTTTTGGCAAAATTGGCCACTTATCTGGCAAATTCGTTGCTCTAATCAAACTCACAGCGGGATATTTGTCAGTATAGTTTATGATCCCACGGGCAGATTTTCTAGTAGATATTAGTTCTCGATATTTAACAGGTAATTTATTAAGTTCAACTCAGCAAGACAAAAAAACACAAACTGGGAACAAGCATGCAGAGAGTTTGAATCTCGAAAATATGCCAGGGTCTTAATTGAAAATCAATATTATTTTTTTTTTAAATCTTAAATTTGAAAAGGAATTGCAATATAATCTAAATTACAATAATTATCATTTATAATACGCAATAAATACCAATATGCTAAATAATAATAATAATACTTACACATGTTTTTGTGACATTCACCCCAAGCACAAATACACACACGCATACACGCAAACAAAAGCTTTGATATTGCCTGCTGGTCAAATAGATGCCCTCAGCAAATATTGCCTTTAGCTAATTTAGGTCTGCTGTTTGCCAAGAGAATTTGAGTATCCCCAGCACATTCTAAATATTTGCTCTTCTCATTAGTTAATTCAATTACACGGCTAATCTTATGAGGGTATTTCACTGCACAGATTGACCGGTGAATCTATAGACAGAATGAAGAGAAGCGTAAGAGGCAGAGAGAGATAGAGAGAGATCTGGGTCTAAAGAATCAGAAGAGAAAAAGAAGGAGGGGGCGAGAGTGAGAGGTAATAAGCAAAAAGACAGATCTAAAATTAACAGCTAAAAGCTTATTCACCAGGGCCATTTGTGGGTGAGATTAGGGGACAGTGATTGCAGTGGTAATTGGAGCAGAGAGCAATCTACTACCCCTCTCTGCAGTTCAATTGGTGCCATTCACCACGAATATATGGCAGAAAATAAACTTCAGTCGATTTCAGTGGCCAAGGGGACAACATTTTCAGTACTTGTTTTAGCTTCTGTTCTTTTAGCTGCTAGTTGTTTGTTTGCTATGTGGCTCATCCTGCTAAAAACAACCTAAATGATCATGGTTGTCTTGCTAATCAAGAGAATCATTTACTCCATTGACTTCCACTGTAAGTGCTGTCAATGTTACTGTTAATACATTTTTTTGTATTTAAACCAGAAAAGTATGCAGATTCTCTGTATTGAAACCCATGACTCTGGCATTGTTATTGTCATGCTTACCTGATAGGAGTTGGGCCAAAAGGTGCTGATGGCGAGTTCAGCCTTCACCCAGCCTTCCGTGACGGGTGCTGAGGCATTCCAGATGGGATTCCCCTGTGGCCCACCGTCCACTTTTATATAGACATTGAGGGTTCCGGGACTCATCCCATCCCGGCTGGACAAGGAGTAGTGGAAGTCTATGCAGTGGGTGTCGTTCTCTTTTAGTGTGGGCAGGAGCAGGTGGGCCTTCTGCCCTGATGCACGACCCGAAGCATTCACCATCATGAAGGAACCTAGAAGTAATATAGCATACGGAAATTGGTATAGTAAAAAAGGTATGGAAACATATTGAAATAATGAATAGAACAGAACAGAATAGAATAGAATTCACCACATTCAACTGGAAATGTAGTAGCTACAACAAAGCAACAAGTGAACAAGTGTTTCTTAGCAATTGATTATTAGGGCCAATCTTTTAAAGAATCATTAAAAAAAACTGAAGACTGTATTGATTCAGTCACACAAATTGTTAACTGAATCAACACACAAATTTGTTTTAAATAAATAGATACATTAAAATAAACATGCTAAAAATATTATAATATGGGTTGCATTTTCCTTTAACCCAAAAACTGTGTAAACATCAAAATAAAACTGATATTTAAAAAAATAATAAGAATAATATATAATATAAAAATAATATATGTGTTAGCCCAATCCACAATAGAATATTTACTCAAAAGTAATACATCATACAGAAATTTGTATAGTAAAAAGGTATGGAAACAATAATGAATAGAATAGAATACAATAGAATAGAATAGAATAGAATAGTTCACCACATTCAGCTGGAAATGTAGCAGCTGTAACAAAGCAACAAGTGAACAAGTGTTTCTTAGCAATTGATTCTTCGGGCCAATATTTTAAAGAATCATTCAAAAAACTGAAGACTGAACTGATTCAGTCACACTTTTTCTTTAACCCAAACACTGTGTAAACATCAAATAAATCTGATTTAAAAAAAAATAATATATAATATAAACAATATTATGTGTTAGCCAAATCCACAATAGAATATTTAATCAGTCACGTTCATAGATGAGGATGTATAGAACAGAACAGAATAGAATAGAATAGATTTCCTCTTGAAAAAAACTGACAAATTACTTCAATATAGTATGTTGAAATAAATATGAAAAAATGTAAAAAAAATAAATAAATATCAAAAAATAAATAAATTGTCAAATAAAAATATATAATATAAAAATATGTTCCAGAATAGAATATTTCCACAGGCAATGGTTATAAACAAGGATGTCTTGATGTTGAAGAATAGAATAGACCTTATTGAACAGAATGTGTTGATGTACGGTATCATATACTCTTTTCCCAGAAGGCTACATTGTCATTGTTATTTTACACGACACAATCATGTTCATGGTCTTTTGTGCCCTTGTAAGCAGAACACATCACATAACCAAGTAACTGGGTAACTGCCTGCTATAAAACCACCCTGAAACTGTAAGTGCTGAGGCACTATTTATGAAATGATTCTGTGGACAGCTTTACATCCATTTTACTCCAGTTTTATGAGACAATATGCCATCTTACAGCCTTATGAGTAGTGTTGTACAAGTCACTACCAACAGCTGCACTGCATTAGAAAGAAGAAAGAGTGCAGGGCTTCAGAGAATACAAAAATCATGATTTTTCTTGAAAAAAGTGACAATCATTCACCTTCCTCAGGGAAAAGCATTTAGTTAAGCTAAAGACCCAAAGGTGGCATTTTTTGGGGGGGGATAAATTATAGTAATTAATTCCAAGTTCTTTAAAAAATCTCACAAAAGAGTTCAACTCATTCATGTCAGGTAAAAGGTTTTAGCCTTAACAAAGGTGAAAGCCAGGTTATCAATCAAAACTCCGGCTATTCAATAATGTTTTTACAGCAATTATAGTGCTGGTCTGTTCATGATTTGGTGACTGAAAGACCTTTATTATATATTTCCAAAGCCATGTGCATATGCAGATCCCTTCACTAGGGACTATTCGAAGCTATGACATGCAAAAAATGGAGTATATCTATCTACTATAATATACGCTGCTTGCAAATATGTTATTTCATCAGAACTTCTGAAAGCCCGCCAATGCAGAACCAGGCTTTTTGGATCCAAATGGCGTACTTACGTCAAGCGATGTGCATATGTTAAGGGCTAGGTTAAAACATCACATACGTAGGTCAAAATCAGTCCCAATTTTTCCCGACACCTTTCTGCCAGGCTGTGCTAAATCACCATGCATAATTTGCCAGGTGGGCAGAGGAAGCCATTGCCATAACACCCCATTCATCACAAGTATTATCTAAGACATGACCACAACACCCGAGCGCATCGTATCTATCAATCAACACAACCTTGAGCCCTGGGATGAGGCCAATCAATTCCGCACACTGATCCAATCTAACGAAGGCCCCCTAAACAGCGGGCCGGTAGTGAACTCGCCTGATTGCATTTCATATTCAACCCTCTCGGCCCACGTGCATTTTCTATCAGGTATTCCGAGCAGACATCTATATATTCCTTACCGTTGATGATTGCCAATATATATGTTCGTGCAAAGTGAAGCCTTTGAACCGCGAGGTAATTTAGAGCGAACCTACAAGCAGGCAATCAGCCCTACCACCACGGTCAATACGAGTGTCCTCAATCACACCATTGGCCGCTTCAGTAGATTACACTGTATTAAGCTGAGCTAATATGAAATCGGATGTAATGGTTCTATGTTAAATAATTCAACACGTTTTATTCCAGGTGGACTGCTGGATGCACAAAACATTCTTGACATGAGCACGACAACACTACAAACACGCCTGTGATTGGCACAATCTTGCGGTGGGACTTTGCATGAGAATTTTAAATGGAAATTAATGTTTACATCACTAAGAATGTGATGCCGCCGCAGCTCTTGCTGGAAAACAGATTAAAAACACATAGCCTCCAAATTGCTTCAGTGATATTACCAGATTTCAGTTACCTCCTGGAGTCCCAATGCATTGGAGGCACTTACATTTCATGTATTAATGAGTTCTGGGATGAATCAAAATATTATTAAAAGTCATTTTCTGAATATTCTGAGAAATACCTGAGCATGATGTACAACTTGTTATGCGCATTCTCAAGGGCAACACTATTTGGATGATAATTCCTTTTCCTGCAACTGTGGTGGGTGCAGATAAACATAAATCAATGTCGATGAAGATTTCTCTCAATACTTACTGCAGAACGAAAATAGCTTCTGGAGTAAAACGCAGCACTTGGCGATCTCCTTTACTAAAATCGATAGCAATATGAGAGTCGTTCTCAGCTATCAGCAAACGTGCCGTCAACAAAATAGAGTCCTCGCAGAATCACAGCTACACTACTGGTGATTTAATGCTGATCACATCAACCAATAACCAGTACGTGGTTTTCAAGACCAACGTCGAGACAGATCCATTACTGTTTTTCTAGGACAGCGCAACAGTCTGTAAAACATCTTCATAGGGGCCACACGAGGCAACCCGATAAGGTATCGCTTCAGTGCCGCTTGGTTGACAGCTGTCACCCCTGCGTTAATATGAAGAGATGTTATATGAATTCATTTACGTCTAAACGCCCTTGATTGTAAGATTTATCGGTTCAAACATCTGAGAAGCAGTTTTAGAATGCCGTGCAATTCACATCAATCTTAGAGACACCTGGCCCTTGTGCCAATTTCAACTCATTTTCTCGGAGAGGATTCTTCTGCGTGTGGCTGCAAAGTACCAAGAGGACTTGCCGGTGAAAGTCATTATTCCCTCTGAGTATTTCCACAGGGAGCTCTTTGCACTAAATGTCACATTCCCGCCATCATAATATGATCCCCCACATGACAAATAGCAAAAACTCTTCTAGTTGTCACTTTAATATGCAATTATGGCAGGTCCCTGTACTTTGGGCCCTCTGCTGCTCGGTCTGATAAAGTCACGGCATTCCTCATTTCTGCCTGCCAGTTTTATCCCGGGAACAATAAAGCACTTATTTACCATTGAGCCAAGCAAGGGCGGTAATCTGCAACGTACCGTGGAAAAGCTAATGCGCTGAGAGGAAAACACAGGGAGGAATAAAAAGGAAGCGAGGAAAGAGCTTCAATAGGTGTGGAAGCATATATCGGAGGCATCTGCTAAAATATTCAGACGGCACAACAAAAAAAAAACTATAAAAATATTTACCATTCAAAAATTGGGGGTCAGTATGATTAATGCTTTTATTCAGCAAGGCTGCATTAAATTGATCAAAAGTGACAGTAAAGACATTTAAAAAGTAAAAAAAAAAAAAATTCTATTAATCTTCTTTTAGACTTCTATCAAATAAATGTTGCTCTTATGAAAATTCTATTCATCAAAGAATCCTAAAAAAAACAACTATTACTGTTGCCACAAAAATATTAAGCAGCACAACTGTTTTCAACATTGATAATAATAAGAAATGTTTCTTAAGCGTCAAATCAGCATATTACTGTAGTATGATTTCTGAAGGATCATGTGACACTAAAGACTAGAATAATAACTGCTGGAATAATAACATTCAGCTCTGAATCACAGAATAAATTACGTTAAAATATATTAAAACAGAAAACAGTTGTGATGATATTTTACAGTATTACTGTTTTACAGTTATTTTGATATAATAAATAAAGCTTTGGTGAGCATGAGACTTCAAAAAGCATGAGACTTAAAAAAAACACACCAACCTCAAAATTTTAAACAGTTGTGTATACACTGAATACTTATTTTTTTCTTAACTGACACCTTCCAACAGCTTTTGTCTCTCTTGAGCTCATTGTGTTCTTAATTGAGGTCCTGTAGTGTGAATGTGAGGGGGACATTAGCAAAATACAGTCAAAAAGTCACATGATAGGACAAAATTGGCCGATTACCCAGTGAATGAGATAATTCCCACTTATCATGTTCACAACTGATCCGCAAATGACCTGAGAGGGTTAAAATGGTGGAAATGGACAGACTAATTACTAAGTAAACAACTCGGACATCACACTTTCGGTCACATCCGAATCTAAACAAAGCTGAAATTACTTGTGAAACACAAAATGAGTCAATTTGTAGTGACTTGGTTAAATCAACGTGTCAATCTGCAACGTGTACAGAGGACTTGTTGAAGAATGTTCTGAAAAGATAACTATTAATAATAGCCAAACAACAGTTAGTAACTAATAAAAGCTATAAATAAAAAAAATGCATTTTACTGTGTTTTTATAG